TCTGAGCAAATAAAACATCTTTTGCCAAACCACTGAAGAATGGGGTAGGAAGAATTCCACTTTCTAGACAGCTCTAGTAATATTGACATGAAAATGTAGGCTGGAATGAAAAGAAAGATCTTAAGGTACAACCAATCTGCTCCAATACACAACACCCCAAAATCTTATAAAATTTCACATTTAAAATCCACCTTGTTTTCCTGGCAGGGCATTCATGCCTTTTGCAGTTTCCTGACAGACAGCAATTTGACAGCTATACCTTTCCCCTCATGGCTGAATCCCTATGCTGGGAAACACCATATGCTCCACTTGCAAAAAGACCTTTTAAAGAGTCTTTTATATTTCAATTCTGTATACTTGAATGATTGTACTCTGTTCTATTGAAAGGTGGTAATATCGTACGATTAAATAAAATATTTAAATTTTTTAAAAGAGTCTTTTAGTGAGTATGGAGGGGTGCCATGGTGTGTGGGGTTGTTGTATGCACAGTTTATGAAACACTTTATACTCTGCCACTGACTAACAGGTTTGACTTGGTGGGTGCACTTAGCACTTCTATGGTGCATATGTTAAGTGCCATTTATGCTTCTAACATCATGAATGTATTCAGGTATTAACTTTGGTTCATTTGTGACTGTTGTCTGGATGCATGCTGAGAAGGTAAAATGCTGAAAGAACAAAATGTTAACTTGCTATTTTTGCTGAGGCTTATGGCCTTGGTAGGCCAGCTATAACTGTGCATGTCTCTGGCTAAACGAAGAACAATGGCACCTTGTAAACCATATCAGCTATAAAGATACTTTTAGAATTTTGCAGTCTATGATTGGTGCGGGCTAGGATCCGCTCGGCTATTGTTCTCAGGGGAGCGAAGCTCAGCTGCTAGGCATGACCGCATGGCCCAACGGTCGTGCACGTGGTCATGGCTGAGTACATTACAGATTCACTGCTTGGGGTTCAGATGTGTGCACCACCAGCCCACTTGCTGCAAACCAGGCAGCAGCGTGCGGCTGGCAACAGTCTCCCTCCCTCCCTCCTGAAAGGTTTAAAGGGCCCTCCAGCTGATCAGTGGGCCACATGCTCCCTGCAGATCAGCTGAATCCCTTTAAATCACACAGGAGGGGGTGGTCGCCCTTGGGGGCGGGGCTTGAGAGCGGGGCTTCCCCCACTGGCAAACTGGCCAAATTTACTGTGTCGTGTGTTTCTCAAATTGGGTTGTGTCTTACAGGGTTGATTCCCCAGCAGTGATTCTGAAAAGTACTGAGAAACGTTGAGTGATTTCAGCAAACTACTTTTATTGGGATAGAACAAGACAAAGACTGCCGGCTCGCAGGCCGGTATATATGCCCAGAAAACCCACCACCTAAACACACCCTCTATTGCTCTATAGGCTATTTACAGTGGCCGAGAGTCCCATAGGCTCTCAGCCGCGGACCTGGCCCTCTGATTGGTGCGGGCTAGGATCCGCTCGGCTATTGTTCTCAGGGGAGCGAAGCTCAGCTGCTAGGCATGACCGCATGGCCCAACGGTCGTGCACGTGGTCATGGCTGAGTACATTACAGATTCACTGCTTGGGGTTCAGATGTGTGCACCACCAGCCCACTTGCTGCAAACCAGGCAGCAGCGTGCGGCTGGCAACAGTCTCCCTCCCTCCCTCCTGAAAGGTTTAAAGGGCCCTCCAGCTGATCAGTGGGCCACATGCTCCCTGCAGATCAGCTGAATCCCTTTAAATCACACAGGAGGGGGTGGTCGCCCTTGGGGGCGGGGCTTGAGAGCGGGGCTTCCCCCACTGGCAAACTGGCCAAATTTAACAAGATGGTTAGCATACAAATTAAGAAAAGAATCAGAAAAGAAACATATAAAGATACTGAGAAATTTCCTTGTGTTAGTCGCCCTAAGCCTGCCTCGGTGGGGAGGGCGGGGTCAAAGTAATAAATAAATAAATAAATAAATAAATAAATGAAATGGGAGAAGAAGAAAAATTCCTAAAGAGCTAAAAAATATTATTGAGAGCTTTTACAAGAATCTATATCAGAAGAGAGAAGCCAACCAAGAACAGATTAAAGAATTCTTAAAGAAACATAGTAGTAAAGAATTTACAGTGGACCAAAGAAAAACATTAAATGAACCAATTTATTTTGCCGAATTAACTGAAGCAATTAAAAACCAAGAGAAAAGGAAAACCCCAGGCCCAGATGGGCTCCCAGCAGAATTCTACCAAACTTTTGAAGATCAAATAACATTACCATTGAAATATACAATACAGAACATCATTGGACAGAAGAAAATACCAGAGACATGGAACCAAGCATTGATTACCCTAATTCATAAACCAGACACAGATGAGAAAGAAATTAGAAATTATAGACCAATCTCATTGTTGAACGTGGATTATAAAATATATGCATCTATTTTGGCTTACCAGACTGAAGAAAGTTCTTTTACAAATAATTCACCAAGACCAAGCAGGATTTTTACCTAAAAGACAAATTAGGAATAATGTAAGAACTATTTTGAATGTACTTGAGTATTTTGAAGCACACCCAGAAAAACAAATGGCGTTGGTTTTTCTAGACACAGATAAAGCCTTTGACAACCTTAGCTGGTCCTTTATGTTAGAACAACTATCAACCTGGCAATGTGGAGAAGGTTTTTTTTTTTTAATGGTTAGAGCAATTTACATTAAACAATATGCAGAGGTTATGGTAAATGGGGACCTTTCACAGAATATTGAAATACAAAAAGGAACTAGACAAGGGTGTCCACTGTCCCCACTACTATTTATTTTTACTCTGGAGATACTGAATGATATAGTAAGAAAAAACATACAGATAAAAGGTCTTAAAGTTAAGGGAGAAGAATATAAACTACAAGAATTTGCAGATGATCTTGTATTTATTTTAGAAGAACCAAAAACATCTATCATCCAACTTTTTAATTTAGTGGGACAAAACTAAAAAAGCTCCCCAGAGCTTCTGCCAGAGGACTCCTTCCCCATACAAATTGTAGCCCTGTGCAAACTGTGGTGGACTTGCAGCCAATTTTGTATAGGAGCATGTGCACACACACACACACACATTTGCCAATTATCACAGCTTGCAATGCCAGTGTCAGTGGGTTCTACCGTGCATTCTGCACACTCAACATGTTTCCCCATATTATGAGATCATGTGACTCTTTCCCATTTTTCACAGTGGCTGATAACACAGCAGAGAATCCCCTCGTGCGCCGCAATATGGAAAATGGGGCTTTGCAGCTGTTTGTCAGTTTCAAAACAGTCTGGTCAGTTTCAACATCGGTTTTCCCCCTTTGCCTGCTTCCTTTCTGTTCCCTTTCATTCAATGAACTAACGTTAAAATGCATACCAATTAAAAATAGTCTTCATAAGATTGGGCTTTTCGCAGACGATTTGGTCCTTTATTTAACCAAACCAGAACTATCATTCAAACCCCTGCAGGAAATTCTTGAAAATTTCAGTGTCACCTCAGGGCTTAGAGTCAATCAAGCAAAATCTGAAATGTTTCCAGTTAATCTTCCCCCCATACAAATGGAATCAGTTCAAGCCAAATTTTCTTACCATATGATCACTACTTCATGAAGACACCTTAAAGTACTTATATCCATGAATCTAGAAGATTTGCAAAAAAGAAAATCATCATAAATTAATTAAAGAAACAAAAATTAAATTGGAGTCATGGCACACACAAAAACTTATCCTGGCCAGATAGTATCAATACAATTAAAAACTTTTATTTTTCCAAAATTTCTTTTTTTATTTAGAGCTCTGCCAATTGACATTTTGAAATCAACCCTTACGATAGATCCAGTTCCAGGCTCAGCAATGGCGAACGTGTGGTGAGCTTGCTCCCTGCTCCAGCCCGTCCATTTACTTTCTAACAGGCTTTTTCAACGCCCAGCACCCTCCCAGAGAGAGGGTTCTGGCAAGGGACTTTTTTGCTGATAGGTGGAGAGGGGGTGGCATCCCCCTTCAGCTGAATTTCAGTGGTGTCCTGAGGCAGGAAGTTTTCGGAGCCCTGATGAGACACAAGTCACACCGAGCAGAAGAGGGGTCCAAGAACTGAGCAGAGTCCAGGAAAGACTCAACAAGAGGAGATTTACCGAAGTTAAGTATAATGTAAATATATATATCCTTACCGCAGTTGGTTTCTCAAGGGGGTGTTGTAGAAGTAATAGGAGAGAGAGAGTGAGAGGTGAAAAATGCCCTAAGAAAAGGAGAGTAGAAAAAGAGTAAGGGACTTCCCATAAGCGGCTGCAGAAAAGAAAGAAAGTGAAAGCGGGGAAGAGGGCATAAATTTAGAGAAGGCAAATAGGAAAGGTAAACAGCATTTAGTCAAGTTTGCACTTAGTTTTTCTTTTCTCTTTTGTTGTTTCTTGGTTGGTTTGTCTGGCCAAATCGGAGGAACGCGGAGACGACGCCATTGATGGAGCCGATTGGAGGACCAGGGATGAGTTGGTGATGTGGCAACACAGAGGCAAGACCAGGAGAGAGACACAGATGTAGTGATGCTGAAGAAGGGCAGTGAAGGAACCAGGAAGAAGGGCAGAAGGAAGACAATTGAAAGAACTACAACAGAGGGCTGCAACGGAGTCAAGGACCCAGGATTTGAAAGAGCAGTAACTCGGAGAAAGAAGGATTTGAAAGAAACATTAAAGCTGAACTAACCAAAGAGGTCGAAGAAAAATGGTTAAGTGGTAGTATTTAAACTACTTACCCTTTTTTGAAATTGTGGATAAGGGTGCTGTGATTACTGAGTTTATATACCTAGGAAAGGGTAAATAATAATAGCAGAACTTTGTGTAATAGAACAAGGGAGGAAAGGAAAGAAGGATTGATTCTTGAGTAGATATAAGCATTGAAAGAAATACTATTTAATTTTTTCAAGATTTGGGAAAAGATAGAAATAATGGCCTCAGGGAGTAGGAAAAGTTCTGTGACATCACCAGGGCAAGTGGGAGGCATGAGTCAATTGAAAACAGGTAATATGAATATCTCCCAGATGACCATGAAAGATTTAAAAATGCTAATTCAGGAAAGTATGCCACAGGCAGTAGCTCAGACGGTGAGAGCAACAATTGAGGAAGTTTTACCTGCGCTTATTAAGAAGGAAATAGAACCAATACAGAATATAACTGAGCAAATTAAATTGGAGACTGAAGAAATTAAAAAGCAACTGATAGAGAACAAACAAGAAATATCACAAATGAAAGTCAATAATGAGAAAATAAAAGGGAAAGTAAGTGATTTAGATTTTGAAGTACAAGTACTGAAAAGTAAAAATGAACAAATAGAAGAAACACTGATTAATTTAGAGATGGACAAGGCAGCTTTAATAATTAGGTGCCAAAATATTCCAGAAAGTGTGGAGAAAATTTTGAAGGGGTAGTTGCCCAGAACTTAGGAGAACAATTACAAATAGGCTCTAAAGAAGAAGTTATAGCAGAAATTGAATCAATATATAGACAGCCTATGTGAAAAGACATAAATTGCCCCGTGAAGTTCATATAAAGTTTTACAAAAGAGAAATGAAGGAAAAAATCCTCAAAGCATCAAATGATTGCAAAGTGACAATACAAGGAAGAGTAAATTAGACTATTAAAAGAGATCCCTTGGAGAGCAAGGGAAAAAAGGCAGGGCTACCGAATCTTAACAAATCTGTTTAAAAAGTGGAGTCATCTATAGATGGTTGATTTCCAAAGGAATACTGTTTCATTTGGAAGGCAAAAGACATAAAATCGACTTGATATTTAAGGCTGAGAATTTTCTAGAGAAATACGGAGAGGATTTGATTAATGTCTTAGAATATTATGAACAACATCCCGAGAAACAAACGGTCTTAATGTGTTTGGATGCCGAGAAGGCATTTGATAACTTATCTTGGGAATTCTTGATAAAAAAACTTCAAACATGGGACCCTGGAGAGAGGTTTTTGGAAATGATTAAAGCAATTTATAGAAACCAATATGCACAGATTATAGTAAATGCAGAAATGATGAAGGTCATTAAAATACAAAAAGTTGTAAGACAAGGTTGCCCACTGTCTCCTCTGTTATTTATATATGCATTGGAAACGCTGAATGACTTAGTGAGATATAATAGATCAATTCAAGGATTGAAAATACTAGGTGAAGAATACAAACTACAGGTGTTTGCGGATGATCTTTTGTTTATAATAGAAAATCCAATAGAGTCCATCCCAAAATTACTATGTGAGATCAGAGGGTATGGTCAAGTGACTAGCCTTAAGATGAATACTAGGAAAACTAAATTGTTGGCTAAGAATTGTCCACCTACAACTTTGTCTGAGATACAAAATATAACTAAGATGGAGATTGTGAAGAAAGTTAAGTATTTGGGTATAACTATATCGAATAAATGTAGCACGCTAATGGAGGATAATTATAACAAGTTGTTAGAAGAAGTTAGAAAAGATTTGACTAAATGGAAAGATCTACATATTTCAATGATGGGAAGGATTGCAACCTTAAAAATGAATATATTGCCAAGGTTTTTGTTTCTTGCACAGAATATACTGATAGTTAAAAGAGGCCCCTGTCACACGGGCAGGAAACTGCAGAGGAGAAGTGTGGCTGTTTGCCCCGGGGCAAACTAACATGCAGTAAAGCGATCAGACCTACTGTGGAGGTTCTGTGGAGGTACTGTGGAGCTTCCGTGGGTAGGGAGAGGTGCCGATCACAACACACGCCTGCGCGCAATGAAGAAGCGCACGGCGCGGCGAACTGGTTTTCTTTTTTTGTGTACACTATGAATGCGCATGCTCCGTTGGGTGCGTGTGCGCATCCACGGAGACTTGGGGGAAAAAAACCCCTTTTCCGCAAGGGGACATGGGCGGGCACCGGATGCCACCGGAAACGCGATCAGACGCCCGCCCTTGCCCCGCAGTTTCTGGAAACTAGTACCTCCAAGGTACTAGTTTTTTGCTGCGCTTTTTCGGCAGGAAGCCTCAGTTGTGCCACGGAAGCGCTACGCTTCCCAGATGTGCTGGTGAGATCGCGACCGGAAACTCCGCTTGTCTTCCGTATCTCTTGCGCAGCTAATGTTGCGTGTGACCGCAGCCAGAGTACAATATTTTGAGGAGCTAGACAAAATAACTAGACAATTTATTTGGGCACCTAAAAGGTCTAGGATAAAATGGAAGGTATTACAGGATAAGAAAGAGGTGGATTATGTATACCGATCTGGAGGTTGTATTATCAAGCAGTAGCACTTAGCTGGATAAGAGAGTGGATACTACTGAATAACACAAGATGTTTAGCTCAAGAAGGATTTGATCTTGAGCTTCCGGTCGAGCTAAGATGGCGCATTAACGCATCTCCGCGATTGTGTGGGGTGGTCGACAGCTTCTTTTGACAGTTTGGGCTGGTTTCAGCCCAAAGCAGCGCTCCCCAGAGAGGGGGGGCGCCAAGCAGGCAGCTGTGCCCAAGAGGGAGTGTAGATTGGCGTGATCGAGCTTTTAAAGAAGCTCGTATCAGGCTTTGATCTCCTCCCGCGAAGAGGGCGAACGCCAAGCATCACTTCAGAAGCTGTTCGAGTTGAGTAATCAACATAAATTCGTCATCAGCCGACTTCTTTGCGAAAGGGGACTATGCGTGAGTGAAAAGATGCAATGCTAAACCCGATTCTGATCGCGCTAGATAACAAAATCGTGCCGCTTACTTGAAATAAGATACAGACTGATCTGAACCGAGCTGGTGGGCGCAGAATGAATTGACAATCCCAGAAATCCGATTCCGGAAAAAAAGTGACTTGATTGAATGTTTTTAAAGCGAAAAAACGATTATTGTTGATCATTCCTGTGGTGAGACACGAGATAAAGGCACAACTTAAAACCGAAACTGACGAAGAGTATCGCGGGAGGAGCGGGTTGGTGTGCTGCAAAAAGGGTTCCGAACGGCATAAGTAGCAAGCGGAGTGCCTAGAGAGGCTAAGGACGACAGGAAGTTAACAGGAAGACGATCGGAACCAGGAAAGAACCGGACCGGATGTGAGTACATGCGCACAAACGGATCCGGTTGAACTAAAACTGACCTACTCTACCCAGAAATACCATAGAGAAGTTGCGCCCGACATTTTGAGGAGGACTTTAATTAAAAACGCTTTTATAAGACTTTGGGAGGGCCTCAGAAGAGCGAAAATAGCCAGAAACTGCTCATCTGCATTAATGAACTCTAATATGACTATTAGCTAATAAAACTAAGAAGTACAGCAGAAACGCCAAAACAGAGACCAGAAGTACAAGACCGAGAGCCGGCTCAGACCCAGCAATAGCTCCAGTTGCCAGATTGAGGACAGGTTCTACATCATCTCCAAGGATGTCAACAAAGGAGAAGAAAGAGCTCCAAGCCGCCATGGAAGCGATGGAGAAGAGGATGACTGAGGCAATACAAGCCATGGGAGTGCAGTTAGAAAAGCAACTGGAAGAAAAGATAGAAAAACAACTAGAGGCGCAGATGGAAAAACA